GATCAGAGAAATAGAGAGAATAAAAAGATCAGGGGCTTGTAGGAAAGCATGGACTCACCTCCATGAAGCAACTCGTACAATTTTTTGACAGCGAATATGCGGCGCAAGGGCCTCTTTTTGAACACGGTTCACGATGAAAATCTTTCTGAGATCCCCCCACAGGATCAGTTTGAGGCCCTGCGTACACTCTCTCTAGCACATTAGATCGGAAAACGGTCTAGTTAGGAAGTTATAAAGGTTCAAAGATTGGCCCGTGTGTATCCTCGGTCGAGTTTCACCGGCATTGTAGAGGCTGCACCGATCACAAGGGAACCCATGTAGGAAGTTCAAACAACTTGTCATGACCTATAGCGACAGTGAAAGACACGTTCTGTACAGTTCTAGCTTGATGTTGTCAGCTCTTTGTGCAATTGCTGTAATTGAAATCTCGTCCGAACACTCCTTCCATGTCATTCCCGTCATGGCAATCTCGTCCGACCTCTATTTTCCCAACTTTTGAAGAGCCATATTTTTCTTGAAATCGGCGAATCCCCCCGCTTTCTTCGCAACCGATGAAGTATTCCCAATCTATACTTCCGCTTTTCGAACAAAAACGGGTACCTCAAACTTATCGTGAACTGTGCCTTTAAACTCGGCCGTAATTCCTTCCAGCTGGTCGTAGTGAGCTATAGACTTGTTCAGGTAATGAGGAGCGAAAAGAAGATTTGAAGAAATATTGATTTTGCTCGGTTGAAACTGTCATTGCTTCCCAGTTGAATCGTAGGCTTCGCATTTCTTTGTGGATCTACCGCAGATTCCAATTACCGTGGCTTAGATTCCTGGAAAAAAAGAGTTGTGAGATGTTTTATCGGAAGAGCATCGTGGTGATTGCTTTAGTTTTGTTTTTCCATTCGGAGCGTCTTCCGCGCTTGTCGATGATGTATCCAAGATAGTGAATTGGAGTGTCCGCGATACGCTTTCAGCATTTCTTTTGGAAACGGTGTGAAGGTTTTTCCTGTGCTCAATTGCTGTGTGTCTCGTAAAGATGACGTCGCCCAAAAATAGGTGCAGCCGATTCGACGCCTAAGCTAGCCTGTTATATTGATGTAATCTTCGATGAGTATTTATTACCAACCGACCTGAACATATGCGTTAGCAAAATCGATGGGAGGAAATTATTGTTCGCCAACGAGTATCGTAAAGCTATCCTAAGGCAGAGGTAATGGATACATCTGCGGGTCCAGGACATCGTTTAGCCCTTCGAGGTTGGTGCAGGTTCTTAGTAATCCAATTGACTTCTGCGAAACAACTGTAGGAGCTGCCTCATAACTAATCTCGAAATCACTTCATCCGCCCTCGGGTCGTTCAAACTTCTTTTCTACGAAAAGAAGAGTTGCACACGGTTGTTTCTGGTAGGAACCGGTTCCGCGTATTTCTCGGGGCGAAGAGGGGCCCTTGAGAAAATGTAGAGTCAGAGGTCGCTGTTGAAGGATTTTGGTTGGAATTCCTGTAGTTCCTTTGAGTGCTTGCGCAGTTAGTGCTGACATCTGCGTCTAAACGTGCCGGATCGACATCCGAAAGTGAATCCATGGTGCTGAGAGTATTGATGAGAGAACCGCTACCTCATAAATTATCGAGTGTATATACTTTGACCCTTTATTGGGTTTATATGTAATATCTCGAGCATGAAAGCCAGATCAGCGACAATAATCTTAGCAATCCGTAGATACCTATCAATAATGATTCTGTAGAAGAAGAAAACCATGTGTGCTCAGTAAATGTGCTGAGGGATGGATCCTGAGCTGTAAAGAATAAGATTTCTACAATGAGAAATGTGACCAAGACTGGTCCCTTTATTTTCAAATAGACTGCAGAGGAGTGATGTCCTCACATCGCGTAACATACCTCTGATGATGTTTATTTCAGAATGGAGAGTTGAGCAATCTTCGTAGCGAGCTGGATCGCATGCAAGCCGTCGACATGCGTAAGGACATCCGTATTTCAGAGCTCATCAAAGAGCTTGACGCAACAAAATGTCGAGTAGAAGCACTGGAAGGTAAATAGTTCTCGAAAAGAATTACAAACTGCAAATTAAGATTGTGTCCCTGCATGTGCTGCCATCACAAAGGTCTTAGCTCTTTTGATTAATAATATTACTCAGGACTCTTTTGCTTTCTTTTGCGATCAGAAATTGCTCGTTGTTACTCAGGAATGCTCAAGTCGCTTGATAACACTGGTTCTGCCCATCATCTACTGAGAGAAACCTTGTGTTCCGATATATGATATTGTCGCAGCGAACGATGGTCTAGCAAAGGAATGATAGAGGCTTAAAACGGATGTACTCCGCCCCACCCTTTCATGTTAGCCGCTTTAGCGGGTCAGCATGATTGCAATTCATTGCACTTACATATATCGACTCATACAGGGCCCGTTCGCAGTATAAATACATAACCTCTTGAATCATACGTTTGACAAAGGATCTTGAGAGATGCGGTTCTTCACCATTCGGGTGTATTGGGCTTTGTTTTTCGGAATAATACTATAAAACATAAAATGGTAGTGAAATATCTTTGACGTGATTTAGCCTATACGTTAACAGGCGGCCACGCACGCTATCGCGTGCGCTAGCCATGAGAGACGGAGCCACATAAGCTGATTTTGATTATAGTTCTTTATCGGATTTATGAGTCTCCAATCGAACCCCGCCTCCTGTGGGCGGAGTCTGGCCCTGCCACTCACCATTAGTGTTCCCATCCTGTCGCTTGTACTCCTACCAAATTTGAACTCTCTAGGTTCATGGGCCGGAGTTATGAATTTTCGTATATAAATGTAAGAAGGGATGTGAGCTTCGAGGCACGCTTCGCCCATTGTGGGTGGGCCTCCGCTGACGTCATTTATGCTGGAGACACCTTCGACAATGCTCCTCCCACATCAACTTTTTCCTGCTCTGATGGCCTTCTCCAAACAGAGTTATAAATGCTTTCATGAAGCATTGCATTTTTGAGAACGCCCCACCCATCGGGAGTGGGTCTCCCCCGTTCAATCTAACTTATCAATGCACACCTCTAGCCACCTTTAAAATCCAGTTTTGAAGCCGTCTGTGACTGAATTCGAAATCATGGTCCTCAGTACAGCTCATTTCAATACACGCCACGCCCACTGTGGGTGGGGCTCCGCCGAACTGGTGTGTTCAAATTTGGTAGGAGTACAGGCGGCAGGATGGGAACACCATGAGTGTTCCCATCCTGCCGCCTG